ATGATTAATAATTTAATTTAATAATATTTAACTTATAGGAAGTGAAATTTTAGTTATTATTTTACTTCTGAAATATTTTGTTTACTCTTTTTTAAAGCTTGTTTTAATGTACACCAATTTGTGAAGTTTCACACTTCAGATTCTTAATTTATTTTAACGGACAATGTTTTAGCCCCACTTCGGGAGTCAGGGTCAATTTTTTTTAATAAACTATTTTACATCAATTTTTTACAAAATATTTCTTGGTATTAAATGGTCAGTACCAAGGATTAGAACTATTATAATAGCTCCATTGAAACATTTTAGGAAAAAAGTTTTAGAAATAATCATTCTAAGGAATTTAAAAAAAATAAAGTTATACAAAAACACTTACAAAATAAATGTAAAATGTAGTCCATTTCAAACATAAATTAAATGAATAGGTCAACAATAAGTAAACATGATTAATATAATTGAATTGATATTTAACAATTTAAAAATATTAAGGTGTAAATAAAAATGAAAGTATTAGATTTATCCTAGTAGAGATAAAATTTGGGGTTTGTATTCATTTGACAAACTTGACATTAATATTTGGCATACTATTACAATATTAAAAAAAAATACATCTTTATTTCTTAGTAAAGGCCATAATTTTTAGTAAATATTAATTTTTTAGTAAAATCTTATCTGATTTCAAATCCTCAATTTACAACCCTTATTTCCTTTTTTTATATACATTGTATTTCTCATTGTGTCTTAAGCCAGGTTCTATTCCAGAAAATTATTTTATTCAGAACAAACTATTTTTTCCATCACCCGAGTTGGTCCTTCAAATCTGCCAGATAAACTTTGGTATAGTTTAATGGCTCCCTATGACAACCTTGCATTGGGCCTAATAGATACATTAGGAAAATGGGTGGTATTTTTTGACTGTGTACATAGCTGTGTTCTCCGTTAGCATTCAATTCAGCAAGAATTTCCTCCCAAGCCTTTTTTTTTTCTTTATTATCTATAATATCAGCTTTTTGGAGTACTAGAGATGTGAGGAACTGTAACTCCTCTCCACAAATTTTTTTTCTTTTTATATCACTCATCTATATAATTAAAATATTAAAAAAAAGGTAACAATATTTTATTATGTATTTGAACAGTACAGTTACCTTCTTTACTTAATCAATATTTTAACATGCAATATTAAAACATCTTTCCAATGTTTAAGAAAAGAAGAAGCAGCTATATATCATTATCTGGCTTATCAATGATGTCAATTCTAATTGTATGAAGTGGAGTGGAGAAAATAATGTTCTCAATAAAATTTTTCTTTTTTAGCATTTAACCTACTTCTTAAATACTCAGAAAATAGTTTGAACCAAGAAGTTTCATTTCACTAGATTTGATTTATGTAGAAGTATAATAATAACAAAAATAATAATAATAACACAATAATTACATTTTCTGTCAGTTAAATATAAGTTGCAGTGAGTGGGGGGAGTAAAAGCGGAGTTTTGGAAATGATGAAGGTCCCTCTATTTCCCCTAAATGTTCCCCATAGTAGAAGGAAAATTGAAGGGGGACTTTGACCACCACCCTTCTAGGGGCGATAAGGGAATAGTGGAGTATAAGGGACGACTATGCATACCACCATTTATGTGTAAATTCTGATATTTTACAGTAAAATTTAACTTTTATTTTGGTTTTGTTATTCCACTTCCATAAAAAAAATTTGTTATGTCTGGACGTCGAAACATAAAACCTCCATTTTCAACCTTGAAGCTGGACCTTGGGGCTGCAGCTGTGAGACATTCCATTTTTACATGCCTTCAAGGGGTGTGATATACTACTTACCTTCCTTCCTAAAAAGTAAGCTGGAATTTATCAAATAACAATAAAAAAAACTTAGCTAAATTTATAAAAAGATAAATGAAATACTAGATATTGTGGGAGCTGTTGTTTTGCATGCAAAAGCGTTTTAGGGTCTACTATTTACATCCGACAATTTATCTTTAAAGGGTTAAATCCTGAAAAGAAATCTTATGAAATTTATTAATCTCTTCTCACCAGACATCCTCACCTCTGTTTTATACCAGGCAGTCATACTCTAAATCATGTCAGAGGTAAGCGGTTTACAGGGATTTGATTTATAATTAGCGAGGATATGCAGGATTTCATGATCATCTAGTTTACATCATTTGGAAAATATAATAATAATAATAATAATAATAATAATAAGGTTACCAGGCTGGTCAAAGGTTACCAGGAAATACTTGAAGACAAACAGAGCCCTCCTGATGGTTTCTCTGATGGCATCACGTATATGCTTCCGAAAAAGAATGATTTAAACATGCGTCCTGAAGATTTTCGGCCGATAACGTGTTTAAATGGTCTGTATAAAATTCTAACTTCCATCTTGGCAACTAAGAACACCTCGAAAGTGAGAATATAATACCCATAGAACAGCTAGGGTGCAAAAAAGGTGCTAGGGGTTGTAAAGAACTCCTAGTAATAGATTCGTTCATTGCAGCAAAAGTTGCGAAAAAACAGCGAAACCTCTCTATGGCATGGATCGATTATAAAAAGGCCTTTGACTCGGTTCCCCACAGCTGGCTACTTAAAGTACTAGATATATACAAGGTTGAATCTAAAGTAAGCAGGCTCCTTTCAAACTTAATGACAGGTTGGAAAACTACGCTGAAAGTTGGAACTATCTGCAAAGGGAATCAAATTAAAATATTGAGAGGAATATACCAAGGAGATTGTCTAAGCCCCTTATGGTTCTGTATGGCTTTGTTCCCACTAAGCAGGATTCTTCGAAAGAACAAGATGGGATACAAATTAATCATCAACGACGAAGCCACCACAGTCAGCCACAGCTGGTACATGGATGACCTTAAACTATATGCGAAAAACAAAGACCAATTACAAAGTATGGTTGAAGCCGTTTCATCTTTTAGTAGTGATATAGGCATGTCACTCGGTCTGGATAAATGTGCGGTGCTCCATGTAACTAAAGGAAAAGTGGTTAGTATGCAGAATATTCTAATCAATGAAAAAGAGTACATCAGGGAGCTTGAAGACAATAGGTTATATAAATATCTCGGAATGCAGCAACATCTTAAAATTGCAAGAAAAGATATGCAACAAGTCCTTCTGACAATGTTCAAAATTAGATTGCGGAAAGTGCTCAAAACCCAGCTAACCGGGAAACAAAAAATCAAGGCTATTAACACCTGGGCAATACCTGCTCTCGGTTATAGTTTCGGCATATTGCACTGGTCAAACACCAGCCTACAGGAGATCGACCGCCTTGTGCGAACAACTCTCACACAAGAACGGGCACACCATCCAATATCATCCAAAGCTCGTCTGTATTTGCCTAGGAAAGAAGGAGGACGTGGTTTGCTAAATATCGAAGAAGCTTGCCGCAAGCAGGAAGCGGCCCTACGCCGATACTTTCTTACAAAAACAACTGAGGTTTACCTCGCAATCTCAAGATTGGATTATGGTCTAACCGCACTTAACCTGAGCAATCGTGAGGTCTCTACAATCGTGTCAGAAAACGAACGCTTGGCAGAATGGAAAAATAAATCTCTGCATGGAAGATTCTACAGCAAATTAAATGATAGCTCGATTGACAAGGAAATATCCATTGAATGGCTGAAAGCTGGAAAGATATTCTCCGAAACAGAAGGATTTCTGCTCGCCATCCAAGACCAAGTTATTGCTACTAGATCATATAGAAGGCATGTTCTTAAAGACGCAACAACTACGGATAAATGTCGATTATGCACAGCGACGCTGGAATCAATCCAACATATCACAGGTGGGTGTGGAGTGTTGGCTGGCACCGAGTATCTCCAGAGGCATAACAATGTGGCTAGAATTTTTCATCAGGCTCTGGCGTGAAGTTCAACTTGTTAGATGACAAAACTCCATATTATAAGTACCACCCAAATAAACTCCTCCAAAAAGGTAGTCTCAAGCTCTACTGGGATGAATCGATAATAACTGACCATACTGTGCGTCACAATAAACCAGACATCCTTCTGATAGACATGAGAGAGAAAAGAGCAGAGCTTATTGATGTCGGGATCCCCAATGATAATAATATAAGCTCCACTGTTGGAGAAAAACTGAGAAAATACCAGGAACTGGCAATCGAACTGAAGGAATTATATCATTTGGGGAACGTCACCACCACTCCAATTATAATATCTTCCAATGGATTAATACCAAAGACAACAGTGGCAGGCACGATGGGATTAAAATTACCTCTTGAAGTGCTGAAAGAGGCTCAACACTCAGTTCTCTTGGATACGGCGCGTATTGTTCGAAAGTTTTTAAATATCTAAAAAGAAAAAGATATTAATCTGAAGTGGCTGGACTGCTGGTCTCCCACCTCAGAAACTTACCCCGCAAAGCGAGAATAAACAATGGAAATAATAATAATAATAACCTCTGAACCGTGCTTGGATACCGTTGAGTCTCCCGCGCGAGGAAGAGGAATCATTGGCCAAATAGGTAGGCAACGAAGGATGAAGTGGGACCGCAATATGAATATTGCTGCTATCCGAGCTTACTTATTGGCTACAAACTTAGAGAAAGAAAAAACAGGATATCGCAAAAGAATCAATCGTCACTGGAATGAAAAATATCCGCAAATAGCTGTATCATCTCAAAGACTCGCTGACCAGGTCAAGCAGATATTAGAACGCCAGTTTTTATCCGAATCGGAAATTAATGCAATCAGAACAGAAGCAGGTAATATACTTGCCCGAAACTCACAGATAGAAATACAACAAGTAGAAGAGGCAGAATCCTCGGCGATTATGCAATTGGAAACGACTTCTGTGAATACCCAAAAAGCGTCACACATTATAGAGATGCGTAATATACTATTAAGAGAACACATAATGTATGAAGGAATACCTTTGGACAGTAGACCCTCTATACCAAAGGTACCATATTCCAAAAGAACTTTATCCGCTGTTAACACCGTCAACGAGATACTTGCTGAGCATATGTCGATGGGTATAACTCTAGAAGAGATATGTCATTGGATATACGTAGGGGCCCGAACTGTCTCGATGGAGCTAGGTTTGATAAAAGATAAGGTGAATTGTAATAAAACTAATGATTGCAAAGATCCTCCCTGGAAGAGAAGAATTAAAAAAAAGATCGAAAATATACGGTGTAAAATCGGAATTATTACTAATTACCTTCGGAACCCAGAAAATGCTTCTTTAAAACTAAAGAAAAAAAAATTGATGAAATTATTGTATTAAATATTGGAGAAGTAGTAAGAAGTGAGTTGAATAAAAAGGTTGGTGTTTATATGGAAACGCTCAAGCAGAAATTAGCAGTGTTAGCAAATAGAATTAGGAGGTATACAGAAGCTCATGATCGAAGGAGACAAAATTCAATATTTAATAAAAGAGAACAATATTTTTATAAATCTTTAAAACCTAAAAAGGAAAATAATAACGATGTCTATCCAGATCCTATTGAAATATCAGAGTATTGGAAAGGTATTTGGGAAAGTAAAAAAAGTTTTAACAATGAAGCAAATTGGTTGGAAAATATTCGCCATAGCTTATCAGATCTCCAACCTATGGAAGCAACCAGTATCACTGTGGAAGATGTGACTAAGGCACTCAAGCAAATGAAAAACTGGAAAGCTTCTGGTCCAGATAAAATACAAAATTACTGGCTAAAGTCCTTTAGCAGTGTTCATAGCCACCTAGCTGTGTGGTATCAGAAACTATTGTCTGAAGAGATCGACTTACCAGCGAAGTTCTGTACCGGTACGACTCACTTAATAAAGAAAGGAAGCAAAAACAGGCTGGAGCCACAGGATTTGAGACCCATAACTTGTCTTAATGGTGTGTACAAATTACTAACGGCTGTAATCAGGAATAAGTTGACAGATTACATTGAGGAAAAGGGTATTATGGCAGCGGAACAGTTAGGTATTAAGGCAGGTTCAAAAGGTTGCAAAGAACTTCTGATTATCGATTCTTTTATTGCTGCTCAAGTTACAAAAAAATCTCGTAATATTACATTGTCTTGGATCGACTACCGTAAAGCCTTCGATTCGGTTCCCCATGATTGGCTTCTGGAAGTGTTGAAAATCTATAAAGTAAACCAGGCAATAATAGATCTATTAGAACGACTGATGAAAATCTGGAGGGTCTCAATCAGCACACCAACTTTGAATGGAATGAGTTCCAATGAATACATATCTATAAAGAGAGGTATTTTTCAAGGGGACTCCCTTAGTCCTCTATGGTTTTGTTTGGCGCTTAATCCACTTAGCAAATTATTGGCTGATACAGATAAAGGGTACCTACTTAACTCTGAAATGAAGCTTTCTCATTCATTCTATATGGATGACCTCAAGCTTTACGCTAGGAATGAAGACGAAATGGAAGCTCTTCTGAAGACAGTAAGAACGTTCAGTAATGATATAAAAATGGATCTAGGAATAGATAAATGTGCAATAGTACACGTAAAAAGAGGAAGAGTTATTAAGGGGAGTAATATTGAGATATCAGAAAATGTAATAATGAATCAATTGAGAGAATCTGATTCTTACAAGTACCTTGGAGTACACCAACTTCTGAAATTCAATGCTAATTCAAAGAAAAACTTTGAGGAAGAATTTAAATACCGTGTTAAATTAGTACTTAAATCACATTTAAGTGGAAGAAATTTGATACGGGCATTGAATACCTGGGCGATACCTGCTTTAGCCTACTCATTTGGGGTACTGAAGTGGACTAAAACCGATTTAGAAAGGTTGGATCGCTTTCTGAGAGTACAGATGGTGCTTTCAAGGAAGAGGCATCCAAAGTCATCTGTAGTGAGATTGTATCTTCCTAGGAAGTCGGGAGGGCGTGGTCTAGTCAGCCTCTTGAATTTATGCCGAAAGGAAGAAAATAATCTTCGCAACTACATTATAAACCATACTTCCAATATCCTTTCAACTATCGCATCATTAGATATAAATTATACAGCTTTGAATTTACGAAGTCCTGGAATCCCGATTAGTGAAGCAGATGATGGCACTCGATCAGAAATATGGAAAAATAAACCTTTACACGGACGATTTTATCACTCATTAATGGATGTAGGAGTGGACGCTGAGGCGTCATTGACATGGCTGAAGAGTGGAAGTATCTTTCCGGAAACAGAAGGATTCTTGTTTGCTATTCAAGAACAGGTAATAGCCACAAAAGCATACAGAAAACATATATGTGGAGAGGGCATCGATGACTTATGTCGCTTATGCAAAAAGGCAGTTAAATCAATTCAACATGTAACATCGGGATGCACAATACTTGCGGGTAAGGAATACTTGCAGAGACACAACAATGTAGCTAAGGTAGTGCATCAAGCTATGGCTCAGAAAATGGAACTCGTCGATAAGTATTGCCCGTATTATAAATACCATCCAGAACCAATTAACTCCATGCGCAATATCAAGGTGTTCTGGGATCAACCGATCCTGACGGATCACACCATCCCCCACAATAGACCAGACATTCTTATAATAGATAAAAGTAAGCAATCTGCGTTTATCATAGAGATTGGAGTTCCTTCTGATGATAACCTACACAAGGTAGTAGCGGAAAAAAAGAGAAAGTACGTAGAATTGGCTGAAGAGATCAAACAATTATATCATTTGAAGGAAACCCGAATTCTGCCAATTGTAATCTCGTGCAACGGACTGATACCGGAAGAAACTGTATCTTCTCTGCGACTACTAGAACTACCATCTCAGACGATCGAAAGAATGCAACAAGCGGTGTTATTGGGAACAGCAAATATTGTCAGGAAGTTCACAAATATAAAATAATTAAGAAAATATACAAATGTAATTTTTGGCTGACCTAATAGGTCCCCAACTATTACATAATTTAAACACCATTGTATATGTGAAAAATAAAGAGATAATAATAATAATAATAATAATAATAATAAATATATAATAATAATAATAAATTACATGGAAGGTTTTTTCACCAGCTTCAGCAGACTGAAATAGATAAATCTTTGTCTGTTAGCTGGCTGGTAGGAGGAAGTCTGTTTCCCGAGACTGAAGGTTTTTTAACTGCAATCCAGGACCAGGTTATAGCTACCAGATCCTACTGGCGACACGTCTTGAAGCAACAGAATGTATCGGACAAATGTAGGCTCTGTGCAAGCACATATGAGTCCATTCAACACATAACTGGAGGCTGCGGAGCTCTTGCAGGTACAGAATATCTAAAAAGACATGACGATGTTGCCAAAGTCTATCACCAGGCAATTGGTCTAAAAATTAAATTAATAAACGACTCGAAGCCCTACTATAAATATTGCCCTAAAGGTATTTGCCAGAAAGATGACTTAAAATTATATTGGAACCAATCGTTCATAACAGACCATCTCGTGATCCACAACAGACCTGATATTGTATTAATTGACGGTAATATTAAGGTGGCTGAAATTATAGATATAGCTGTGCCAAATGACGGAAATATTAACTCAGTCTGCGCAGAAAAAATTCGGAAATATCAAGGTCTAGCAGCTGAGTTAAAAAGTTTGTATAAACTTAATAAAGTAACCGTTAGGGGCATCGTGATCTCCAGCAATGGCCTGGTACCGGTGTCTACTGTGGAAGCTACTGACAGGCTGGGCCTCCCAACTCATGTAATAAAGGAAGCTCAGAAAGCGGTGCTGCTGAATACTGCCAGAATTGTAAGAAGCTTTCTCAACATTCAATAGTAATTAAAATTGAACATACCTGATTCTTCCCCTCTCAAGTAAACAAAAAAAAACCTTTTGTAGAAGTGTTGACAAATAAAATAATAATAATACTTTATTTATTCTGGGACGAGTCCCTTTAGAATAATACAGGAAGACAGAAATGAGGGCTAAGGAGCCTCAGAGATATATAAATAAAAATACAGAGTAATTGAACAGTCTTGGTTAAAAAAAAAAATAATATATATATATACACATATACATATAAGTTGCTTTCCAATTTTGATAAGTTGACAATAAAAGAGAAAAAAAAAATAGATAAATAAAAATTGGAGTACAAATAATGAAGAACGAACTAATAATTTATGTACTTATTTTCAGTAGTATCTATTTACGATTTTATGGGGACTGGATGGATAAGAAATGATTGAACAGGCGGGATTTAAAGGTAGGAAGGGTATTAGATTGATGGATATGGGAAGGGATGGAGTTCCATAGAGATGAGGATCGGATAATGAACGATTTGTCGAAATCAGCGGTTCGGTGGGCCCTTATGTATAAATCAGAAGACCGGGAACGAGTATTGCGGGAACGAACAGAGGATTTGAACTGAAGGAGCTCGGAGATGTATGAGGGACGGTGGGATTGGATGACTTGAAAGAGGAAGGATGCCAGGAAATACTTACGATGGTAGGAAGGATAAAGCCACTTTAACTCCGCGTAAAAATGGGAAACAGAGGTGTCCCTTGGGATCCCAAAGATGAATCGTACAAAGCAATTTATCAAACGTTTTAGTTTCCCCAGAGAGGCCCCCATATACCGTACAGCAATAGTCAAAGTGGGGAAAAATTAAGGAAGTGACTAGGAGCCTACGGGTTTCAAAAGGAAATAGGTGACGGGAGTAGTTAAGACGTTTTAGGATGGAAATGGTACGGCGGGAAATATTGGATATATGATTTTTCCAAGAAAGCGTTTGATCAATGGTTATTCCAAGATTTTTGATGGTGGGGTGAAATTTGATGGGGTTATTATGTAGGAACAGAGTTGGAATAGTAGGGACAGTTTTAAGGAGGTGATTGGAGCCTATTAAGATTGCCTTTGTCTTATCCGCATTCAACTTCAGCTTAAATATACTGAACTTAACTAAAATAGTTCGTGTTCTAGAACTATTGTTCTACAGCTTAGCTGGAGAGGAGGTGTATTAAAAACCACATGTTATAGATAAATCAAAATATTGCTTATTAATATTCTTAATTGAATGTGGTACTTATACTCTCAATTTATATTTAGTAATGTTTTTTTTTTTCAGGGACAAGCGGCCTATGTATTATTTTATACTAGGAATAATACTATTCTTAGTGAAGAAATACAGCAACTTAATGACTCCTCATTATAACACTCTTCATGGCATATTTCACTGTTTAACATTGTTCCTTGTGGTGGAATATACATAATGTATATAAAAAGAAGGAGATAATTATGTCCTTGAACTGTAATAACACAAATGTGATATTTGTTTCATAGAAATTAAGGTTTTAATGCTGTTGTCAATATTAATATTTTTTTTTCAAATCAAATGATAAAAAACCTGGAGGATAACTTCTAAAAAAAAGTACTAGATCAAAATTATTTTTATGAAATGAATTAAGTGAAATTAAATATACTGAACATAATTGTTTATTGGATCATTTGATCATAATGGAGAAAATCTTTTCACAACTTAAGGATGCCGATAGCGAGTTGTCTGAGAAAGAGAAAATTAATTACATATTATTGTCAATGCCTAAATCATTTGAGAATATTATTATGGAACTGGAGACAATTGAAGAGTTAAAAATGGACTTTGTTAAGAACAGAATACTTGGTGAAGAGGAGTAGTAAAAAAGGACTGATTAAATTTGTCGATTTCTAAACATTCCTGTGTTTTGGATGTGGATGGCCAGGGTACGAAAAATTCCAATGTAGAAACAGTCAAAAGGTGGGAACTTGGCACAATAGTGGCAAATGGAGTCGAGGATCAACCCTCGGAGGACGAGGATCAACTCATGGGGAACGAGGATCAACCCACGGAGGACAAGAACCAACCCATGGAGGATGAAGTATCACCAAAGGAGGTCAACTGCATTACAGGGAAAGAAGAAGAGAGAAGTATTACCTCACTGGTACATTAGAAGATACAGATGTTAATAAATATGTTAGTTTTATGTAATGTAATCAAAATTTAAAAGAGCAGGATAATTTTAGATGGTGTGTAGACTCTGGAAGTTCTTTTCATTTAGTAAATGATGTAAATTTATTTTATAATTATTCTAAATTGAGCAATACTGTAAAAATATCGAAGGTTGGCCTGTAGCCATTACACGAGCCATATCAGCTCCATAAAAATAGATGAAAAGTGGGGTATATAGTGTAAAATCTTAGTTTGAATTGTTTAAATAGTATTGTGCAAAGCATAAACAGTGAAAAACACCTGAAAAAATTATACTCGAAGAGTGTATTGTTTCATTGTTAGTATTTGGAAAAAAGTCAAACATCGCAGTCGAATAGAGTGGTATGTTCAGGAAAATTACGTCATTAACATGTCACCCTCAGCTGGCCAGGTAACCCAATAATTACCTGTATTACTTTCCAAAATATTTATTTTTCTCAATAGAAACATCAAATCAATAAATTAGAAATGGAAGAACTAAAACAACTAATCAAAAATATGAGTGCTAAGATAGATGACAATACAGAACAAACTAAAGCATTGGAAAAAAAATACAGAAACATAGGCAGGAGACTAAAATGTTAAAAGAAGAAATCACCAAGTATAACTCACTATTGATAAATTTAGAGGAAAAAAACAGATATTATGGAGGCAAAAAGTAAGAGAAATGAAGAATTTGTGAATAATGAGCTCCGAAAAAAGTACTTAGTTTTGTATAATGTTGGAGATATAACAAATGAAGATTACGATTCCCTAGAACAGGAATTTTTAAAAATATTTGAAGAACATATGGAGGTAAATATTCAACAATGTGATGTTGATTATGTAACTAGACTGGAAACATGACAGAAGAGAAAAGAATTGACCCCTTATCTTATTGAAGCGAGGGTGTCAAACAAGATTAAAACTGGATAAACTGGTTATAAACAAAAAAATATATCCCTTAGAAGAGGTAAAACAGTACGGGGAGAGGATGTGGTGTGGAAATAAAAAGAAAAGGTATGAGAGCTCGGACTCAGAAGAATCGGAACACCCAGGAAAGAGAAGACATCTAGAAGAGATAGACATCTACGGAAGAAGTCACACAAACCGATCACGGAGTGGTTCAGCTCGAACCTGACCAGCAATCACAGCATTGCCAAGATTATCTAGCGGGTAGACATAGCTTATACAACAAACAGATATCAATTTTAAGTTACAATATACATGGTTTAAAAAACAAATTAGATAATCATAATTTTTTAATTTTCTTAAACAATTTACATTATTTAGTTTACTTGAAACACATATAGAGAAACAGAACTTTGTCAAATTTCAAAAAATAAATGGTTTGATCAAGAATGTAGAAAACTTAGGAACAGTTGCTTTAAAAAACGAAATATATTTAGAAATTCCAATTCAATACCAGATAAAGAAATATATCAAAAAACCAAAGCGGAATACAAAAAACTTTGTATAACAAAGAAGGCTAATTGCTATATAAATTTGTGCAATTCTTTTTGTCAGGTTAGGGACTCAAAACATTTTTGGAAACTTGCAAATACTCTGAAATTTTCTAAATTTGTAAACGGGAACAATATAACACCAGAACAATGGATTAATCACTTTGTGAGACTTCTTAATCCTGAAAGGAAACCATTCGAAATTAATTATGTTCTTAATATAATTACTAACGAATATTTAGATAAACCATTTGAATTGTCAGAGTTAAAACAAGCACTGCAAAAAGCGAAATGTGGCAAAGCACCTAGTATTGGCAGAATTCCATGCAAATTTTATAAATATAGTTCAGATAACTACCTTGAAGAACTAATATCATTATATAATAAAATATATGAAACTGGAAATTACCAGAATGTACCAGAAAGTTTACAGAAATCTATAATTTTCCCACTGCTTATGAAAAGCGATATAAATATTACACAAAATTATAGAGGAATTTCATTTTAAATACAATATCAAAATTATTCCCTGCAATGCTACTTCAAAGAATAACAACATGGTTAAATACTAATTATATATTGTGTGAGAATCAAGCTGGTTTCAGAAATGGGTATAGTACAATAGATAATATTTTCAACCTAATAAATAAAATAAAAACTAAAACTGTGAAGAAGAGAAGCAAAAAATACGCTTTTTTTATTGATTTTAGTTGCACATTTGACTCCTCAGACATAAACGCAATATTTTATAAATCAAATAAAATTGGCTTTTCAAATAAAATTATCCGAATATTGGAAGGGTTATATAAAAACACTGAATCCGCAATTTGGACAAAAGAGAGCTTGATCCAATCATTTGAGACTAAATCTGGTCTAAGACAGGGATTTCTTCTTTCACCAATGTTATTCAGTTTATTTATTGATGATTTCCCATTGTGTATGGGAACGGGTTTGACTTTGTAGAGAGAATCAATAAATGTTCGCAGATGACATAGTATTACTTGCCAATGACCCATCAACAATGCAACAAATGGTTGATAAAGTAGGAGGACTAAATGTTAGTTTGGAAAAACCTAAAATAATGGTATTCTGGAAAGGGGGTAAACTATCGAAAAAAGAAACTTGGAATTACAAACACGCAAAAATTGAAATAGTAAAAGCCTATAAATATCTTGGATTTAAGATTACTCCGCAAATATCCATACAAGGGCATTTGGTAGAAAAAATCATAATTGAAAAATTTAGTGTTTTAAGTACATGGAAAAAACTACTAAATAACAATAATATACGTTTAATTCCAAATACAATGTGTAAAATTCAATATCCAGAGCTATGGTAAGTTACTCATCAGAAACATTTAGTTTCCAAAAGAAATACGAATTTCAAAAGTTTTTTTTAAAAAGGCAGTTTTCACTTCCATAAAACTGCCCGGACTATGTGTTGTATTTAGAGACAGATAAAGAATCACTAACACATTTTACATACAGACTACATCTACGATACATAAATAAAATTCTAACATTCTCAAACAAACGTTTGCCGAAAGTAATAGCTGAATATATAATCAAAAATAATTTATTTTTGCATAAAGAAAATATAGATATTTATAAAAAATTAACTGGCAAAACCACTTTAATTTACAGCCATAAACAAATATCTAAACTATTAGTGGCAGTGCAAAATGATTTCAAGAAACAAATTATAAATAAAGTAAGTTCTGCAAAATTTCACCTTATATATAAAGAATTAAATTTCCAACTCGCTGATACGCATTATATTAATAACCACCGAAAACAACATTTTATGAATACCATAATTAGACTCCCATGTGAGCATATAGGATTAAATTATTCCATTGATAGATCTGAAGATAAACTGTTCTGCTCTATGTGCAACTTAAAAGAAATAGAAGATACCATACATTTCATTGGTACATGCCCCGTGTTAAAAGAATTCCCAAATATCTATTTTGGAAAAACATTACTTAATAGCACTGAAGTGATGGATTTTCTTAACAGAAAGGACTGGGACAAATTATATAAATACTCAACTATTGCATTCAAATATAGGAAAGAAATGATAAATGAAGTCAACTACTAATATGTGTGCATTTATAAACAGAACTTACGTTTATGAAAATATTTATGAACTGGACGATGTTAGATTATTATCACAATTTATCGTGTATATAATTATTGTGTATATATAATATATATTATTGTATAAAGTATAATTATTGTTTATATTTTGTGATTTATTATTATTTATATTGCTGTATTGTTGTTATATTGTATGTATTCGACTTTTATATGGATTTGGTATTTAGGAAATGGGAACTACGTTTATGTATGCTCTTAATGGCTTGCAATTTATTTAATATTTATATTAAAGTATAATGTTGGGTTTTAGTTATGAGAAGCAAATCTTGTAACACTACATAATATGATTTTTATTAAAATGTTAAAATGGTCAACCAGGCAGACGGGCAAACAGCCCGTTGCTTAATGTGTGTAAGTTATCCTGTAAAATCATAAAAAAAATTTTGTCTTAGCTTTTAGTAAGGCATATTGTTATAATGTAATTTATTTTGTTATCGAAATAAAACACATTATTAGTATTATTATCATTTATTTGTTTCACACATTACATGGGTGCTTGTAATAGTTGGTAACCGAATTGATCAACCAAATATTACATTGATATGTGCTTGTTTTAGATGACAATTTTCTAATATTATAAAATTAGGCTGGGTTTATTTTTTCACCATATTTATTTTAATTTACATAGCTATGTTTCGGCCAGTAAGGCATCTATAATATAAACACAATTAATTTTATATTATAATGTAATTCTGCACTCTATGAAGGTGGTATTGGTCCTATTTAATTAAATATTCTATAAATTATAAGTCTAATTAGGTTAAGTCAAGTTTTTAAAATTTGTAATTAACACTACCAGTTAAATTGTAAATTAACATTGCCACTAGATAGAATGAGGTTGCTTTTTTATTCAAATACAGAAATATCAATTATAGTATGGGAGTTATTAGATGTTTCGATTTACAATATTTAGAAAAAAATGAAATTATTGAAGAGCTAAATGGAAAATTCATTCATATCCATACAATAAAATAAATGGTAACGAAAAATTTACTAATTCATATATTGTAACTTTTCCGTCTCCATTACTACCTGAAACTCTTAAAATTGGTTATCGGAATATTAAGGTCCAAATATACACTCCTAATCCGATTAGGTGCTATAGATGCCTTACTTTTTCACACCATACTCTAAAATGCATAAACCCCAAAATAATTTGTTCTCAGTGTGGTGAAGAAGAACATACTGATGCAAAATGTTATCCAAATAACCCCTTTGTATTAACTGTAGTCAAAATAATTAGTTTAGATAAAAAAAATGCCCTATTTACCAGATGAATAAATAAATTAAAACCATCCAGTTCACTAAGAAAGTTTCTTACAATGAAGCTAAAAATATTAATAAACAAGAAAAGCCCCAAC